AGTCTAACCCCCTGCAGGAAACCCTACACCACTTAAGACAAATGGTATTCCTCATCTTTTTAAAGACCTTGGAGCATTTACAACAGAGGTCTCCAAACTTGGCCCCTTTAAGACTTGTGGACTTCAACTCCCAGAATTCTCTAGCCCAGCTATGATCGAGAAAAAAACAGGAAGCAATTATGGCTGAGGAATTCTGGGAGTTGAAGTCCACAAAGTCTTAAAGGGGCCAAGTTTGGAGACCTCTGATTTACAACTTCCGGAGGCAAGGAGTTCCACGGGTCAATTGTCCTCACTGTCAGGAAGTTTCTCCTTTGTTTTACAAGAAGTTTCCCTCAGAAGTAGTTGTGGGAGCTTCATCATCCCTGGAGGCTTTCAAGAAGAGACCCTCTGTCAGAAATGGGGTAGGCTCTCCTGCTCGGGGTGGGGGGTTAGACTAGATGACCTCCAAGGTCCCTTCCAACTCTGGCTGGCGCCACATTCTCAACCCCGCAAACCCCACAAGTGGGTGGGGGAGATTTTCTTCCCCCGGTGCAGCTCAAATTCTCCTCTAGGCCACCTGCAGCCAAAGGAACAGCTTTCACCCCTTCCTTGGCCCATCGAGGGCACCTCTAGATGACCATTTTACACCTTTGGGCGCGGGGGGGGTCACCATCCTTGGCTGGCGGGTCAGGAGCCGGACAGGAGCTGTTCCACGGAGCAAGGCTGCCCCCTCCTGGCCCAAAACAGGAATGGCTGCCTTATCTCCCTGACTATCCAATTTTCAGGGACTTTGAGGATCTTGGTCTAACAGATTTTAACAGACTTGACAGAGTTGGAAGGGACCTTTGTAGGTCATCTAGTCCAACCCCACCGCCCAGGCAGGAGACCCTCCACCATTCCTGACAGATGGGAGTCCAGTCTCTTCTTGAAAGCCTCCAAGGATGAAGCTCCCACAACTTCCGAGGGAAGTCTGTCCTCCCTGTCAGAAAGTTTCTCCTTATTTCCAGGTTGAATCTCTCCTTGGTCAGTTTCCATCCATGATTCCTTGTCTGGCCTACAGGTGCCTTGGAGAATAGCTTGACCCCCTTCCTCCTCCTCTCTGGGGCAGCCCCTCAAATATTGGAAGATGCTCTCCTGTCTCCCCTGGTCCTTCCCTTCCCTAGACTAGCCAGGCCCAGTTCCTGCAACCGTTCATTGTATGTTTTAACCTCCATCCCTTAATCATCCTGGTTACTCTTCTCTGCACTTTTTCTACAGTCTCAACCTCTTTTTTTATGGTATGGTGACCAAAACTGGGTGACCAGATGTGGCTGGTGCAATTGAAGATGAACCAACATTGGTACTACTTCTCCTTTAAGACTGGGGATGGGTTCTATCCCTTTAAGAGGTGCTTATATAAAAGGCAGCCATTAGAGGGTTGTGTTCTCTCTCCTTCTGTCCTGTATTCATTGCCGAAGTTCTCCGTGTAGAGTTAAGAAGAAAAAAGATTGCTTGTAAGGTATTTTGCCGACCACGTATATTTGTCTATATAACTGTTGCATAGTAAACCCCGGTTAAATGTCTGTTGTGCCGTGTTTTGCTCCTGGGTTGTCTCATAAGGGGAGTCTCACTGCAAACGGTCTTACTAAGGCTTTACAGAGTGGTGTGAGTACCTTTCTTGATCTTGATGGTATTCTTCCGTTAATGCAGCTTAGGGTTGCGTGGGCTTTTGTGGCTGCCGCCGCACACAGCTGGCTCAGTCGACAAACCCCTTGTAGGGCAGGTGAAGCCCACCTGGGTTGGAGTAGCTCCCCTTTGCAGGAACAACCATCAGGTGGGAACTCAAGAGACACGAAGACTCAGAGATTGCTCCACTTACCAAGTTGGTGGACGGACCTTCTTCTTAATTCCCAGGTAGATCTTCAGGTTCTTGACCAGCCATTCTTTCTCCGGTTTATGGCTCTGCGCGATAGAAGGAGGGCAGGGTAAACAGCCAAAAGGGGGGGACTGTGTCCCCACTGCCCGCGAAAAAGGGCCAGCTCAGGTCCCCACAGGGGGCGCCACTTCCTACCTCCAAAAGCCTGCAAGACCTATGCCCACCACTGAAAGTGGACATTAAAGGTGGACATAGGGAGCCAGTTGAGTCTACTGGTCCCGCCTTAGGCATGAAAGCCACCTGGGTGGGCCAATCACCAGGAGACGGTGAGTTCTAGTCCCGCCTTAGGCATGAAAGCCAGTTGGGTGGGCCAATCACCAGGAGACGGGGAGTTCTAGTCCCGCCTTAGGCATGAAAGCCAACTGGGTGACTTTGGGCCA